GACAGGAGAGAAAGAGGCAAGAGAGACAGAGAGAGAGAGGGAGAGAGAGAGGGAGAAAGAGAGACAGAGAGGTCTTGAAACCAGTGGTTCACTCCCCAAAGGGCCACAACAGCCGGTGCTGAGCTGATCCAAAGCCAGGAGCCAGGAGCTTCTTCTGGGTCTACCACGTGGATAAGGGGGCCAAGTCCATGGCCCATGTTCCACTGCCTTCTCGTGTCTTAGCAGAGAGCTGCATTGGGAGTGGAGCAGCTGGGACTCCAACCGGTGCCCATATGGTATCTCGATGTCATAGGCAGATGTTCAACCTACTATGCCACAGCGCCGCCCCAGGATGTCGTCTTGTCCCTTCCCTTCCCTTCCCTTCCCTTCCCTTCCCTTCCCTTCCTCCTTCCCTTCCCTTCCCTTCCCTTCCCTTCCCTTCCCTTCCCCTCCCTTCCCCTCCCCTCCGCTCTCCTCCCCTCCCCTCCCCTCCCCTCCCTCCCCTCTCTTTTCTCTTCTCTTCTCTTCTCTTCTCTTCTCTTCTCTTCTCTTCTCTTCTCTTCTCTTCTCTTCTCTTCTCTTCTCTTCTCTTCCTCTTCTCTTCTCTTCTCTTCTCTTCTCTTTTCTTCTTTTCAGTTGTGGACTTGAAAGGCAGAGTTGGAGGAAGGGACAGGGAGAGAGATCCAGAAGGATGACTCTGATGAGCTGATTTAATCTCCCACAAGCCCATGCTGGCTGAGGCTGAGTCAGGCTGAAGCCAGGAGCCTGGAACACCTTCTGGGCCTGGCACACAGGTGGCAGGGACGGGAGCACTTGGGTCAACTTGTGCTGCTCTGCCAGGTGTGTGAGCAGGGAGCTGGAATGAAAGCAGGGCTCCAGGAGCAGAACCGGGGTTCTGATGTGGGATGCCAGCCCTGCAGGTGGGGCTTTAGCCTGTGGGCCACAGCGCCAGCCCCATGGGCCTAGGTGGCAGAAAACCTTCCAGGGGTTCCTGTGAAAGGATGTTCTGCCTCTCAGGACCCCTGAATCAGAGAAGGGGGAATCCACGTTGTAACAGGTGCCCGAGTCTACCTTCCCGACCTCCATCAGAGCTCAGGATCCCTGTTGGAGGTGGCTTTTTCATGCTGTAGGTGGAATTGAGCTGTCCTGAGGGCACGTGCAGGTAGGGAGGTGACACTCAGAAGGAGAGGATGTGCAGGACTCGGGCGATGGGGAAAAGCAGGCAGAAACAAGGAATGATGGGAACGAGCCAGGCTGGTACTGGAGAAGCCTGTCCTGTGTCATGGTTGGCATGTGACACTGGGAAGGTCTTGCGGGCATTTAGAAGTGCGGGGCGGGTGAATACAGCAGAACATGAACCCTGAGAGTGCAGATGACCCGGAGGGGAGGGGCCTGAGCGGGTCTCCTAGTCGGCATGTGGGGCAGTAGCTGGGCACAGGGCAAGAATGCTCAGGATGAGAGATGACTCTGAACTTTCGGAAAGCACTTTTGCATGCTGACCCAGGAGCACATGAATGTATTTGGAGTATATTTGTGATTAGTTTTGTGCCATAAGAAAAGAATACTTATAAAATTTTGGCTGTAGTGAGTAAAGTTAGTAACATATCAGTAGAAAACACATCTTATATCCTGAATGTCAGAAGATATTTTAAACTGGATGCATGAGTAGTTAACTAACCAGTCTTGTTAGATGATGGTCTCCTTGGCATAAAGCAAGGATGCTAATGTATAGCACACTTTATTTTTTATTTTTATTTTTATTTTTGACAGGCAGAGTGGACAGTAAGAGAGAGAGACAGAGGGAAATGTCTTCCTTTTCCATTGGTTCACCCCCCACTGGCTGCTGTGGCCGGTGCACCGCGCTGATCGGAAACCAGGAGCCAGGTGCTTCCTCCTGGTCTCCCATGTGGGTGCAGGGCCCAAGGACTTGGGCCATCCTCCACTGCACTCCTGGGCCATAGCAGAGAGCTGGACTGGAAGAGGAGCAACCGGGACAGAATCTGGCACCCTGACTGGGACTAGAACCCGGGGTGCTGGTGCCAGTTTAAAAACAAACCTATAAGTAATTGTTTAATGCTAACTTAATACAAGATCTGGAGAGCTAGAGACCAACCATATTTGGTGAGTGAATTCTTATATTAAGACTATCTTAGTCATTTCAGAACTAGCCAAGGCATTCTTATGTTGTCATATTTCCCACTTACATATTCTTTGCATTTCATTTTTGAGGTTTCTGCATAAACTTTAATAAAATGGTAACGATAGTAGAGAATTTGCCGATACTGAATAGAACATCTTCTCTTCTGGACAGGCTGGCTTCCCTAATCTGGGATTCAGGAAGCAATCCAAGTCAGTTGGAGATGAGGAAGTGCTAGAGTAGGTATTTGGTTAATGAATGGAAAGGATTCTTCATTCCAATTTTGAGAGAGAAAAATCTTCACCCAGGAAGTTGAAGAATTCTTGAAAGAGGTATTTTGATGTTGGAGAATAACTTGTTTATCATTCTGCAGAAATGCAGATGTAAGCAATTGAGCTGAGAGTATTTGTTTTTGAAGGAAGGAAATGAGATTTGTTTCATTTGGTTCACATCAATAAGACAAACTAATGCTGCAAGAATATATTTTTAAAATGAGGTTCCTTCATTGGTCTTGTGTTAAGGTTTTTAATTTGGTTTTTCCAATTTGGAAGCCCTCCTTGATGTCAGATGACACTGACCACCACACACACAACTCTTGGTTTCTGTTGTCCAACAGGAGCAGAGAGCTGTGTGAAATCCCCTCGCATTTTTTTTTTTTTTGCCTTGTTTGACTTCTCATCAATGACATGTATTCTGCAACATGTCACATTGAGGTTAGAGAATCGGTATAGCTTTATATTCCATCTGTCCTATGGCAAGAGTTTATAAATCCTGTGCTCTAAAATATCCTCATCTATGGAAACTTTCTTCTATCTAAGTATATTTTTATATTATCCTTTTCACGTTAATTTGCTATTTATTATTTTTTTCCCTTGAATCAGGAGTAACTTCAGATTTCTTTTTTTTTTTTTTCTGGAAGGAATGTTTTTTTAACTTTTAATTAGTAAATATAACTTTCCAAAGTACAATTTATGGATTACAATGCCCCCCTCCCATAACTTCCCTCCCATCCACACCCCTCCCATCTCCCGCTCCCTCTCCCATTCCATTCACATCAAGATTCATTTTCAATTATCTTTATATACAGAAAATCAATTTAGTATATATTAAGTAAAGATTTCATCAGTTTGTACCCACACAGAACATAAAGTGTAAAATTCCTTCCACATTGGACAACACATTAAGGACAGAGAGGAACTTCAGATTTCATAATTCCAGTTTTTACATTCCATATTTTCTGGCACAACCATTGCCATTCAGCCCTAAATCCTAATCGTTCCTTTTGCGCAGCAGCTTTTTCCCTGGGCACCTCCTTCATGGTCTTTGAAGTCAGTGTTAGTATTGAGATTGTTGGTCTTGAAGTTCTGTGTAGCATCTAATGTCAAAATAGAGCCAATCAGTAATCCCAGTATGCATTTAGTGTGGTTTTTGTGGCAACATAAATGACATATGAAGAAAACTGTTCTCAGGTCACTATGCTGAAATCCCAAAATGTCTGAGTTTTGAATAGTAATCACTTTGCTCTGGTACTGAAGCAATTATGTTAGGAAAAAAGTTGGTTGACTGACTTTTGATTGCTTATCTTCTAAAGTAAAGGTTTGAATTCTCTTTCTGAAAAGATGGCTAGATGCCTAGTGCAGTTATACATACTGCACTAGGTGTTCCTAAAATTTGTATGGTCATCATCCAATAGGAGGGTGTTCCTAAAATTTGTATTGCCATCATCAAATAATCTGTGTGGCAAAAACATCAGCACTTTCACCTCGCTTTAGCTCCTATTTTTAGGAGTCAGTTGTAGCCATAAACTGTACCATGGTCTGACACTTTGAAAAGTTCATGGTTAGAGGAGTTTATTGCCAAATTAAATTTGGCTGTTTTCCCCCCCACCCATTATAGATATTAAGGAAGGTGTACTTTAAAAATGGTTGGACTGCTTTTTAACTCCAAGTAATGTCATTAATCCGTATGTGGACTAGTGATGAATAATATTTTCATCAGCATTTAAATGCTGATATTTGGGAGTAGAGGGTAACTTGTATTCTACCAAGTGAAGCATTCTTAGAGTGGTTGCTTTCCCTGTTTGTTCAATAGACTGATTATACTGGAATCCACAGAGTTTGAGCCTTTACAGTTGATGTGAAAAAGTGTTTCAAACACTTCAGGTCAAATATTATTTTGTATTTGTGGAAATATGTAAATAATCTTCTAAGCCACTTTAAAACCCATGGTTCCAAGTTGGAAATTGGTGAGAAATTTGTTTTCCTCTTACACCATTTGACATTTCAAATCAGTGATCGTGTTCCTGCCATGTTTCAAACAACTCCATTAAGCTTGTGATATAAACTGTGTTTTCCCACTCTTTGGAATAAGATTCATACACATGCGCTTACTTGAGTATTGTTTAAGGTCACTGACATGGCAGGCCAGTTCCTCTCGATATATATGGTCCAATATCATCTCATCCAGGAGGCTTGAAACTAGAATGGTTTAGTCTTATGGATTTTAACAGTTCTCTGTCATTGTTTAAGAAAACCAACAATTGGCACAACTTATTAAGCTGGGGTTCCAGTCTCTGCTAGTTCATATTGCATGTTTATTTTGGACAGTCTTTTGTTAAGCATGGTGCCTGTACTGGTTTAAATAAAGTGTTAACATAAAAGAAAAAAAATGGGTGCTGTGGGGAGCTCTTATGGCTTTTGTGGTTCGGTTGATAGTGATGGTGTTATTACAGTCCTAGGGTAAGGCCGCTTAGGCAGTGTTGAAGGTGATACAGGTGGTGGGCCCTATAACATGGGATGCAGTGTAGTCATAGGGTACAGAACTGTGTGTGAAGTGGTGTGGCAATGTGGCCCAGTGCAGAAAATTCCCATTCTCTCATTGGCAGGCAGAGCGGGCAGTCCTGGCCCAAGGATGATCCCGAGGATTGGAGGAAGGCCTGGGTAAGACTTGCTAGTTGTAGAGCATGGAGTCGGGGTAAAAGAATGATGAAGTTTGCTTGGGCTAATCCTGTTTGGCCAGGGATTGAATTGGGGCAGAGTCCTGACTTGCCTGCAGGGGTTGTGGTTTTCTACAAGGATTTGTATTATGTGAATTATGCCCCCAGGAACCTTTGGCATTGATATGAATACTGGCCCTCTGTCCTCGAACCCACTTAGGATCTTTGGGACTGGTAATGGTGTATATTACTGAGTTGGGTTCCCCAGGACTGCAAGGAGGTGAAGCAGGGACCACTTTTAAGTTTTAAATCCTGACCTCAGCTTTTAGGGGAACATTAGGGGGTAAGGGTCATCCATGCATATCCATGAAGGGCAATAGTACTGGTGAGGAGGGGGAGAGTCTGGGGTTGGGCAGCCCCATTTCTGTCTATCCTTGGCTAGATTGCCTTCTTGGAAACACATGTGTTTGTATTCCTGGGTATAAGACCATTCCCAGCCTATTCCCCTGCATTGTATTTGTCCTTTGTTTGCAACCTCACAAATATTGAACTGAATAATAGCTGGGGAGGGACCTGGTTTTATGATGTTGTAGACCTCTAGGATTATACCATATTTGTCCCTTACCTGAAACTGTCAGAAATGAGTCTGGTATCAATGTCATTGGCTAATGAACTGGACTTGAAGATACGGAGTCCCAGCCAGGGTACTCACATCATCAGGGCCGTGAGTAATTTTGTTGTCATAGTTGACACAGGTATGAGCATTGTTGTGCGCACCTTCCAGGAGACAGATGAACATATGATGAAGTCTCTGAGCACCCAAATCTCCAGGCTGATACGTCCAGTTTGGCTGTGTGCCCGGGAGAGTGTGTACGCCACCTGATAGTGTGAGGGGTCTTGTTGATGCAGGTAGTCTGTATGAGTCCAGGCTGAGTGCCAGATGCGCTCATTTTCATCAGCAGGGAGCCTGGAGGTTAGGTATTTTAGACATCTCACCAGGGTAAAAGTGAGGCAGAGGAACTCCGTTTTGTATTTAGATGGGCTTTCTGAAAGGGAGCCTAATTTTTCCTCAGGCTGTCTCATATCAGACAATGAGAAGGGGACATGACCCAAAGGGACAAATACCATATGTTCTCTCTATCTGTGATAACTAATAGCGCACCTAAAAGGAAATCTGTAGAGGTGAAATTGAGAAGCAATGGAAAGTGCTTGTCTAGACTGTTGAGGAGCAGTTTTTTTTTTTTTTTTTTTCCCCTTAATGGAGAATGTGACTGAGAATGGAGATGGAGGAGGAGGTGGGTGGGAAGGCGGGTATGGTGGGCAGAATCACTATATTCCTAAAGTTGTACTTATGAAATTTGTACTCGTTAAATAAAAGGTAATTTGTGGGGGAAAAAAAGAGAGAGAAGGGAACATGAACACAGTGGGACACTCTGGGCTTGCCACCTCCATTGTGGGCAACATGTTTCTCTGTGCTCTGAGATTGAGTTGGGGGATGGGTTCTAGTGATGCAGCTGCGTGGGGGAAGGAGCCAATCAATGTGGTTGGTATGGGGAGGCATGAGAAGAAAGGGAGGAGATGGATGAGTCTGCCTGACCTGAGGGGTTGCTGCGGGGATCCTGTGGGATCTCTATGATTGTGGAAGTGTTAGTGTTTTTGAGGGAGTTTCCAAGAGGGGCTGGGAGGTCAAGGCTGGGGCTGGGTTGTTAGGGGGGAGTTGAGTGGTTTGGGCAGAGCAGAGAGTGGGGGTCAGTAAGGAGGGTCTCATTAGCTGGATTGAAAACAGGTGGATCGAAGGGTGAGGCCTCAGATTCTGTGGTGGGCTTGGGAGGGAAAGAGGGGAAGAGAGAAGGACGTCATAGGAGGAACAGTCCTTACACACAGACTGTTGGTTGTAAAGAGTTCTTGCAAGTAGGTACTTCAGACCACTTGCCATTTCATTTGAGGAAGTTGTATAGGTCCACAAGGACGTTCTGATCAAAGGTGCCAAATTCTGGCCAGTGGTTGTGGTTGTCTGATTTGTATTGAGACCAAACTTGCAGACAAAAGCGCTTCATTGGTAGGTTTGAATGTGTGTTCTCTCACTTCTGGGTGCAGGACACGAGGAAGCCCCTTCATCTCTCTGCATCAGTTGCCTAAATGCTGCAGTGAGGAGTCTCACAAGGGGCCCCCAAAGGGCTGCTGTGGGCAGTTCAGGAGTTCCCGTGTGCAATGCTTGGCCATGTCCAGGCCATGCTAAGGGCTGTGCTGGTGTTTGCTGTGGATGGTTTGGCTAAGTGAGACAGCAGGCCCGGTGTTGGGGAGAGGAAGAGGAGGGGTCTCTATTGAAGGTGGGAGCACTCATGGGGGAAGCAGTCAGGCTGGGTAGGAATACTGGGCTGGAGAGTGGTGGTCTTGGGAGCTGGCTGAAGAGGGTCCACCAAGCATGCTGGGAGTCAGCAGGGGCCAGCTGGCAGTGAGTCCAGTAGGACACTGGTCAGGTGTGTGTGAGTGGGGAGCAGGGCTTCACTTGGGATCTTTGGCTCAGAATCTTCCTCCTTCAGACCTCAGACTCTTTCCAGTCTCACCAGGACAGTCACTCCCCAGTCTCCACTGTGGTGTGTGTCTGCAGCCCACAGCAGGAGATTTGGGGGTCACCACCGAATAACTTGTGGGCCCTGGGTCACCAGGCTCAGTTCCTGTAGACAGCAAGCCCCCAGTAGATCAGGAGCTGCGTCTCAAGTGTAAAATTGTCCTTTGGGCCATTTGGCATCTGTGGCCTGGGCGTGGAGACACAGGAATGACCTGAATGTGCAGGGTTTGTGGAGAGTTGATTGGAGGAACAGACTCCAGTTTTTGCTCTTTGTCCACCTGCTGCGTTATTCAGGGAAGGACAGGTGTTGATGTTAACCAAAGTACAGGGTGCACTTGGAGGAGCTAGGCCATGGAGGCAGCTGGCTGAGGAGGCAGGGCTGGACATGTAGGAGGGGCAGGGGGTGAGTGCCGGGTGTGTATCCTGTTGGCGATGCATGACTTCCTCCTGTAGGGTTCTCCCTGAATGGCTGACAAGAACATGGCTGCGCTGCCCCTGCACTCTGTGATTCTTCCATATCCTTTTGTTGTGCTGAGAATCCCGCATGGGAGATCTGCCCTCAGGCTTCTCTGTGTCTCTAGAATTTCTAATTCTTTAAAAAAATTTATTTATTCTTTTTGAAAGTCACAGTTACAAAAGAGGGAGAGAAACAGAGATATCTTCCATCTATTGATTCACTCCCCAGATGGTGGCAGTGGCCTCCCGGGGCCAGACCTATGCCAACAGCTTGTGCCCAGTAACTTGTGGGTTGCAGCAGCCCAAGGGACTTGGGCACTCTTTCTCTACTTTTTTTCAGATCATTTGCAAGTAGCTGGACTGGAATTGGAGTAGCCAGGACAGGAACCAGTGCCCACATGGGATGTGAGGGTTTGCAGGCTGTGGCTTTATTCTCTAGAACTTCTTCATCTCCCAGCCTCCTGCTTTTACTGGATCCTGGAAGGAAGTCTTTGTTGTGCAAGATGACTGCCTCAGTCACGTGAGCACTGGTGTTGGTTGAGTGTCCCCAGTGTGCTTTCCGCGGTTGTTCTGACAACACAGGAGGACGGATTACATTTTTGATTCACTGGGAAGATTATCCAGGGTGATCTCATACCTGTTCATAAAACCGTTTATAAAGGGGACATGTATTTTATATAAATAATATCAATAGATTTGAAGGTGCCCAAGTTAAGCATTGTGTATTTGTATGCAATTAATATTTACAATATATCTGTTGCAACTTATGTGGTTAAGATTATCCATAGATGAGGCCAGCACAATGGTGCAGAGGGTTAAATCCCCAGCCTGCAGTGCCTGCATCCTATATGAGTGCTCCACTTTGAGTCCAGCTCCCTGCTAATGTGCCTGGGACAGGCAGCAGAGGATGGCAGAAGTCTTTGGGCCCCTGCACCCATGTGGGTAACCTGGAAGGAGCTCCTGGCTTCTGGCTTCATGTTGGCTCAGCTCTGGCGGTTGCTGCCATTTGGGGAGTGACCCAGTGGGAAGACCTCTCTCTCTTGGCCTCTGCCTCTCTTTGTAACTCTTTCAAATAAAGAAATCTTTAAAATAATATTACCCATAGGAAAATAGAAAAGTGGAAGCTCATTTCACCAGTGCCCTAGTAGTTTTGCATTCTTGGTCAGCCTACAAAGTAAATTGGAGATTCTCAAGGTACAGAGGGTTAAGCCTCCCCTTGGGGCAACCCCATTTCTTATCTGGGTGCCAGGTGAAGACCTGGCTGCCTTGCTTCTGATCCAGCTCCCCTTGGATGCACTGAGGGGAAGCATTCAGTGACCTGAGTCCCTGGGCCTCTGATACCCACATGGGAGAAGCAGATGTAGTTTCTGGCTCCTGGCTTCTGCCTGGTCCTATCTTGGTGGTTGTGTGCATTTGGGAAGTGCACCAGTTAATGGGAGACTTCTCTCCGTATGTCTCTCTCTCTACCTTTCAAGTAGGTGAAATTAAGTAGACATTTCTTTGACTGTATTTTATCTTATTATTTGGAGGTTTGCAGTATTATTAAGAAAAAGAAGGAGGCAAGCTAAGCAGAAAGGTGGCTTCTCCATTCCAGTGGCGCCTGAGTGTACTGGACATCCTAAATGGCATGTAGGGTTGCGGGTGGGCTCTGTGCTGTCCTGCGGGCAGATGAGCGCCCTGACGCCCAGGCCCAGCTGCCTGTGTCCTCCCTCAGCCTGTATGGCTCATCGGGATCAGGGGGAGCGGACAGCAGGCTGAGTAGTGCACAGGCCAAGGAAGGTGGGCTGGGACCCTGACTTGAGACAGGATGAAGAGGGTTGTCCAACCATGGGAATGTTCCAAATGTAGCTGTGGTTCATGCTCCAAATTTCCATGTTTTGTGGACTTTGCTCACTTAAAGGAAGCCAGCAGGTGCTGTACCAGGCCTGGCCCACAGGTGCTAGGATAGTGACATTTGGGGCTGTCTCAGCACATGCCATAGGCCTGGCAAGCATCAGGGAGACTCCTAACCAGGTCCTGGGCCTTGCGGATCCTTCGCCACTGTCACTTCTGCTCCAGCCTTGTTTCTCTGCCCCCGAAGCCTTGCTGTGTCACATTGTGGTTCCCTGACCGGAGGGCACAGCTTTGGATCTTCCTGGTGACAGCCTGTGAGGGGCTGAGCTATCTTGCATCCTGGGAGACATCTCCGTCCAGGCTCCCTGCTCCCTGGCTGCACTGTCTGCCTGCCTGGGTGCTCACTGCTGCTGCTCCCTGGACAGCCTACCCTCCCTTTGTTTGGCTCTCACTGCCTATCCTCCAACCCCAGGATGTCTGCCCATGCCCCACAGGTGCCACCTGCTCCTGGGTCTCACCCCACGTTGTTGTTCTCCTGTGGTGCCCCATCTTGGGACAGACTCTGCAGCTGTGGTGGAGGGCCCTGAATCAGCCACTGCATCAGTGTAAAGAGAGATGATGTGGGTGGCACTGCGTGAGTCAGCCAATGCCTGAGGGGACCCGAGAGTCCTCCTGGACCTGACCGAGAACCTGACCATACATCAGCTCAGCCCACACGAGCATCCGAGCTAACCACCCAGGCCAGGCAGAAAATGGGGATGCAGCCCTACAGCCACAAGGAACCGAGATGGCAGGGTACCAGATGGGCCCATATAACCTCAGGAGAGACCTTGAGCCTGCAGCTCCTGGGCTCCTGACCTGCAGGTGTGGTGAGATGATACATCTGTGTCATAGAACCAGCTGTGCAGGGCAGGCACCTCTGCAGGCACCTTCAGGATGGAGAGTCGCACCTCACGCAGCGTGGAGTGGGGTGAGCAAGCATCACCTGTTCCCTCTCTGCCGGGCACCCAGATTTCCCAGCTCTCAATTCTTGGCAATTCTGATGTCACCCAACTGGGACATCTTTTTTTTTTTTTTTTTTTTTTTTTTTTTTTGGCCATCTTTGGAAAAAGAAATGATCAAAGAGGCTGCTGAGTATCCGAACTCCCAGGGAGCCACATCAAGTACTGTGTTACCCTTCCATTCTCTGTGTGATGATGTGGAGTGAGCCCATTTGATAAGTGAGGAAATGGCGGCTCAGAGCGGGGCAGGGTTGTGCTTGCTCCGCGGTGCCTGCCCAACGAGTGGAAGGGCCAGGGCTCTAACCCAAGATGGTTAGAACTGAAGCCAGGCTCTTAGCAGCAGACATGGGCACAGCAGCTCTTGTTCCCACCCCTCCTTAAATGCACATGGCAGACTGTGATGGGAGCTCCAGGGAAACTTGATGATAGAGGACTGGATCTGATGTGGGGGGGTTTGGGAGCTTGTGCCTCTGGGAGTTCTCTTGGGAGTAACATTGCGGGCCATAGGGGGAACAGGTGCCTGCAGCTTTGGGGCAACCTGGAGCTCCAGGCCTTATTCAGAGGGAGTGGTTCTGGGTTTTAACCTGGAGCCAGGGAGAGCTAGTGTGGGGTCTCGGCAAACATTTTTTCTCCCCAGAGAGAGGGAGAGGAGATACAGAGGGGAAATCTTCCATTTAATGGTTCACTCCCCAGATGGCATGAATGGCTGGGCTGGGCTAGGCTGAAGTGAGAAGCTGGGACATCCAAGTACTTGGGCCATTTTCCTGCTGCCTACAGACCATATGCAAGGAGCCAGCTCAGAAATGGAGCATTAGGGACCTGAACTTTTGCACATTTAGGATGCTTGCCTGGCAGGTGGTGGCTTGACCTGCCATGTCACAACATTGGTTCTTTGATTTTTATTTTTTAAGTGCATGTGTTAGGTCTTTTTGTTTTTTAAAGTTTTTTTTTTATGATCTATTTATTTATTTGAAAGGCAGAGTTACAGAGAGGCAGAGGCAGAGAGGTCTTCCATCCTCTCGTTCAGATCTCAGGTAGCTCCAAGAGCTGGAGCGGGGTTGATTGGAAGCCAGGAACCAGGAGCTTCCTCTGGTGTCTCCCATGCAGGTCAGGGGTGCAAAGAATTGAGCCATACTTCTGCTTTCCCAGAGAGCTGTATCTGAAGTGGAGCAGCCAGGACTTGAACTGGTGCCCATAAGGGATGGTTGCAATGCAGGTAATGGTGCCAGCCGCTGGATTGTTTTAAAAGCTTTGTTGCAGGAGGGTTTTGTGGCACAGGAGGTCAACTTGCCAGCTTGGATGCCGTATCCCCCATGAGGGTGCTGGGTTTGGCTGCCAGTATTCTGCTTTCCAATCCAGCTTCCCACTGACGTGTCTCTGGGGGGCACAGGCAGTGTCTCGAGCAGTTGGTCCCTGCCACCGGATGGGAGCTCTGCTTCTCTTTGTGCTTTTTCAAGTCAAATGAAAATTGATGAAAAATATTAAAAACAGTTCTTTGTCCACTGAGTAAAGATTGTCCATGGGGCCTGGTTCCTAGCTGTGGAGATTGTGTTCTCCTTAAGGATACACTGTGGTTGGCACTTCTGGAGGAGCTCCTGGCTTGGGTCAGGTGGTTGCCAGAGATGCTGCCCCACACCCCTACAGTGCCCAGGGTGCCCTGGGCCAATATCGATCTGATCTGGTCGGTGTCCACGGTGCCTAGAGGAGAGTCCTGGGGCAGGGCTACAGGAGTGGAACCCAGATTAATGAGGAGCTGGAGAGACAGGACTCTGCTGGTGAGAAGTGACGTGGCTTTATGTGGATTCCCTGTCCTGTGCCTCAATTTCCCTGCTACAAAATGGTAGGAGTCCCCTCCACGAGTTTTCAGGATTGCAGAAGGCGTTCCTTGTAAAGCCCTGAAACCTGAGCCTCTACACCTGCACACTTAACAGCTGCGGTGGCCGCCATTGCTGTTGTCACTGTGTGAGGAGAGGGAACTGGGGGGATCTCCCTTCCCAGCATCCCTGGAACTTCACCAGATCATCTTATCTGGGTTCTTGGTTTGTAGGGCTTAGGATTGCATGAGTTCGATGACCTGGAGTGTAACCTGAGCTTGTGGGGAATCACAGGGTCAGGACTGTGTGCGTCCATGCTTTGATCGCCCTGGACTTTCACCTTGTAGGTTGACCTGCAAGAAGTAAGCAGAGGGGTAGAAACCCTTGCTCCCACCTCCACCTCCTCTGTCCCCCGTTCACTGGGCTTGTTCCTGTGGGGAAGCAACGCCACACTGCAGGGCTGTGTCTGCCTTCC